ATTTGCATTATTAAACCACGATGAACAATGTAAACAGTGCCTTGAGGTCGTTTATAGACTTGTAGTCCTGAGAGGAGTTTATATTGAATTTCATTAAAAATAACTATTTTAATATAAATATAGTTTCAATGCACTTGAAAAATTGATGTCATCTTCAATGGGCAGCATACGATACTTTCACTTAAATCTGACTTTCTTTCCAACAGGTTATGTGAGTAGTCGGGATCGAACTCAAAGCATGCATACATGTATCAAAGTACCTGCATGGCGTCATCTTCAAGTGCTAATTTTTGTTCCATGATCAAAACTAACAAATGTATTTTTATGAAGTGCATTGGGTTACCCCTAATATGACAATGTTCGGCGGATTTGAATACATGTACCTAAAATTATCATTTTTGATTATCCTTGTGCATTTGAAATGGATTTATTACTTTTCGGCAGTTACTGACGGGATATTATATCATGTGGTGCTATGTAGTGCTTTAGGACTGCTGAAAGTGAATCAAGTTTGACATTTTGATGACTGACATATGGAACACTCTGCAACCGATTGAAACTGTATTTAATCATATACAAAATATTATGTAAAATAAATATTTTATAATTTGATTGAAATATCTTTGATAAAGCATTATTAAAAAGATTAAAGGAAGTTTTGATATAAAATTGCTAGCTTATTTTATTTTTGTTGCTCATCACTGCGTTATAAAATGTATGTCATGCTGATTGAATTTATAAAGACCAAAAAAATTAATTTGTGTGAAAAGAATATCCCACAATTAAAGTATCTACATATCTAAACAATCAGAGGCCTTATGATGAATAACTTATATCGGTTAATATTTTGAAAATTTTGACAATAATATTATGTATGTTAAATAATAGGCTCTTTGTGCTGAAATTTACAAGTGTTTATATTTTTTCTGTAGTTACACTTGTTTTAATATGTTAAATCTAGATATGTTTAATTTCTAAGCACATATTTAAGATATGTGTTTAAAATTCAAACACTTTTCTAAGCACTTTCTTGTCACCTTCTTTTTTATATGTTTAATTCCTAAACATGTAAAATTTCTAAACATGTTTAGAATCTAAACACTTATGTGCTTCCATTCTAAACACTTTCTCATACGTGTTTAGAAATTAAACATGTTTAGGAATTAAACATATAAAAAAAGAAGGTGACAAAAAAGTGTTTAGAAAAGTGTTTGAATTCTAAACACATTTCTTACAGTGAACTCTGTTGGACAATATTGTGGACCATTACCAGAACAGCCACAAACAATGTCACCCAGCTCTAGGTGTAAAGGAGATCCAAATTATGAACCTTCAAAGGTTGTAATTGAAAATCCAGTGGCAGTAAAATTACTCAGAAGTGTTATAATAAATTCAACTATTTATAAGAATCCAGACCATTTTAATTTAGGAAGAGATACGTACTTTGTGGAGAGTTTCAATAATACATTAAATATATATCAAGACAAACGAATAGCATTTGGAAGTGAACAATATAAAGTGCGTGCTTTCCTTGGGACTTTGCATTGGAATGAAAATGTAAACAGAGAACATACTTCTACTTCATTCAAGGCTGACCCAAAGGCCCCTAGAGGACTAAAGGGAAAAAAGAACTATAAAAAGAAAACATTTATTTTAGAAATAAAATATGGATGCGCTATATTAAACAAGTGTACTCAAAGCGGAGAAATAAATAGTGAAACCATGTGCAGAGTTTTATCTCTACTTTCTGTGTAACACGTGTATGTTCTATGCAGGTATCTATTTATAGCTTCACTCTGTAGTCTTATCAGTTGGAGGTGTGACCAGCTCCCTAATATGCTTAATTGCTGTCCGTGTGGATATTAAACTAGGTCAGATCCGGCCTTTAAGGGGAGACAGGACACATGTCACATGATTAAAAAGACATATCACGTCATAATCGGTGATGATATACATGTTCAAAATCAACAGTTCTTGTGTAATTTTATTCTAAATTCTAAAATTTTTTTTTAACATTTAATTTTAGAAATTATTATTGATAATTTTTTTAAGATCTTGCCATCATTTAGATATTGTGAAGTTGCCCAATCTACACATTTGTTTCTCTTAACCCTGCAGTCTGACGTCAGTGACGTCATAGACGTAGTGTTTGAATTCTCAGTGCAGCGAGATCAAGTACACACACCCGTCATACTCAGTTTTATTTAAGAAATAAATAACAACTTTATAAACTTCAATGGGAATTGAAGTGGGTCGGTCACGTGATCAAATCCTGTGAAGGCCGAAGGCCTTATATACATTTGAGACAGACGATTGAGTATTTTTGAATATAAATTATTGCACTAACCGTCCGTCGTAGATTTTAAAAAAAAAAATGACCCAAGGTGTAAATCGGCTTGAATGGCGGTTACGCTTCGAATTCATTAGGCTTAGGATTTTATTTCTAAGGGACTATTCTGTGAAAGGCTTCTTGTGATCAGTAATAGTGAACATATTGTTGTCTGGGAATATTTCTATTCGTGAAAATCGATAATCAATGCTCAAAAGACACAAGAAACACGGCCGAAGATCGATGATTAAATTTCGGTCGCCAGAAAGAGATGGATGATCCGATGGATGGAAACACTTGACGTGCCAGTTTATTTGCAATCAAGTATTTGATATCAAAAATTTTTAACCTACGATTTCATTAACTTAAGTATGGCATGTCAAACGTTGCTATATTCGATAATCTTGTGATGTATATTCAAAATCTTGTGATGTATGTTCGAAATCTTGTGATGTATGTTCGAAATCTTGTGATGTATATTCAAAATCTTGTGATGTATGTTCGAATATCTTGTGATGTATATTCAAAATCTTGTGATGTATATTCAAAATCTTGTGATGTATGTTCAGTATCTTGTGATGTATATTCAAAAACTTGTGATGTATATTCTATAATCTTGTGATGTATGTTCAAAATCCTGTGATGTATATTCTATAATCTTGTGATGTATGTTCGAAATCTTGTGATGTATATTCGAAATCTTGTGATGTATATTCTATAATCTTGTGATGTATGTTCGAAATCTTGTGATGTATATTCGAAATCTTGTGATGTATATTCTATAATCTTGTGATGTGTATTCGAAATCTTGTGATGTATATTCGAAATCTTGTGATGTGTGTTCGATAATCTTGTGATGTATATTCGAAATCTTGTGATGTGTGTTCTACAATTTAGTGATGCGTGCAATAATATTGCATGACGCAACGGAAAAGTAAGGACAATTTTCATTGGTTAGAAATAACGAAAGTAGCCGAAGCGGTGATCGACATCGTGATGAACACAGCTTTGCAAATATGAAATTGGCGAATTAAACCTAAAGTCAAAATTATAGGTAATACTATAGTAAAACAGTATTGTGAAAATGTATTGTTTTGGTATCACGAAGCACTAAGTCAATCATAACGTGAAAAGTGGGAATCAAGAACATTAATTTGATTTGTTTGAAGGTATTTTAACACACGACATCAAAAGCAATTTAATGGCTAATTGCTAGACTGGAGAATGTTTTATCCTATTTTTAGGTCCTCATATTGTACATTTGTAGTGATGTTGATTAATCGGTATGATTTATTTTATATAGGCGCTAGTTAAAATAATCTAACAGTGTCTCGGGACAAACTCTCACCACGCAGGGTTCGAAATTGGCACAATGACCGTAGCACTAGTCCAGGGACGACTTTGCAATAAATAAATAAATAAATAAATAAATAAATAACACGACAAATTTTTAGGAGAAGGTGGCTTTCAGGAAAAGATTAATTGCCATGCATCATTGATTATTGTCATTCACAAATTTGTCCAATTGTTTTTATAGTAAATGTATTGCAGGGGCGTAGCAACCTTACTTATACTATAGGAAATGTTAATTGAAACCCTGGTTGCCAATGTTAATTGAAACCCTGGTTGCCCCCCCCCCCCCACCCACACACACACACACACACCACTTTTAGACTTTTAGTCATGTACCGAAAATGTAGTATTAGAATTGGTACTGAAAGTAGTTGACACTGAGAAAAATTTTACCTACCTAACTCCAAATCCTGGATCCGCGCCTGTATCATATTCTTGACAAGCAATAAACAATTATAAAAATTATTGTCGCATATCTGCGGTGATTTTCTTTGATCTTTCTGTGGTGATATTATCCCATATCACATGTGCGAAAATACAAATGTACTTTCCAAACATGTTTCAAAGTTTTTACACTCTATATCATACAGTTTTAAAGAACAGTTTTATGAGCTCATAAGTATATTAAATGGTTAATTTATCAAAACCTGCCACTAAAAATTCAAAAGTCTTAAGTTAAACCAAATTGTCCAGGGTATTCTTAGTAAAGTATGTCAAAGGTCAAGGTCAAGTGAATTGTAAGGCTGGTATTTTTCCTTATGTTTTATGGCAATCAGTGCACATGGTAAATAGCATAAAATTACCCCTTAAAGGTCTTATGCAAGGAGATAGCCAATCAAAATGAACTCAGTCAAATGTAGTTCTATATATATAGAGACAATAATATTTCTTTTCTTTTTTCATTTTCAGCAACTTTATGTATAGGTCTACAGTTTTAATTTTGGACTCATGCACTAGGAATATCATATCGTAGAATTGTGTCACTGAATCAAAGGGAACTCTTTTTAGGTACGCATGATCGATGTAACTTCCTCGATGGTGTGTTGGCTGTTTGCCCATGTGTATTTCGCGGTAGGTATGTTTACTCTCAATTTTCTTTCTTAAAAGCCGCATAAGGGGTATATTTTTTCTGATCTCAAATTTTTGTTTAAGCATTAACAGTTATTTTCTATTTCATGAATTATCCGCTGAGAGTCTAGTTAATTAATTTATTTAATTAAAGCTATATAGTAACATATAATGAAATTATTTCCTTGTGTGAGACCTAAAGAAAAACCAGGTTACTCATTTTTACGACAATTTCTTTGATTTCAGGAGTAGCCTCCCCTTTTAAAGATCCAAAATGGTGATTTTACAGTGCAGCATGCAGTGTGGTCAACAACGGAGAGTTTTGACACCCGTGATACCCATATTTCCACCATTCACCTCTGTAACCTTTGTTGAGTTCATCAGACAGGTAAGAAAAACAACCCGTACGAAATTTAAGTCACGTATTTTTTAAAAAATCCAGGCGTATTTTAATCTAAAAATCCTTGTGGAAATCTCTATTGAAATGAATATATAAAACCAGGCGTATAATGTAAAATACAGGCGTACACGAGGCGTAATCCTCCCGTATTTTTGGCCGAAATATGCAAATGAGTACGCCTGGAAATTCAAAATACGTCTGGAAATTTTAAAAATAGAATTACGCCTAGATTTTAAGCATACCCTTAAAAATACGCCTGCAAAATAAATACACCCGTATAAAAGAATACGCCTGTACAAAAAAATACGCCTGTACAAAAAATACGCCTGCTTTAAATAGATTTGAATTAAATATTAATTATATTACAGCAATGGGAGCTACAACTATAGCATGAATATAAATGTACAATCAACTTTAGTACAAAGATTTTTGACTACATATGCTAAAAAAGATTAGACAAATTAAGCTAAGCATACATCACTTTTATTTTCTTAATATTTTTCAGTGTGATAAAATGTGAATGAGATTCATTAGTAAAGGATTGTCATTAAAATTTAAAAAATCATAATCTTACATTTACTTTTTCAAAGCACAGTTACATGTTAGAATATATTAACCGTTTCACAGCATTTAAACATCCAAGGCTGAGTTTTATAGTAAACAGTTGAAACATTCCAATAATCACAGTGAATCACAGTTTTGAGAATCATGCCGAGTACTCCTGCCATTCTTTTTACTCCTAAATTGGCATAAAAGATGCAAATCATGAGCAATTCTGTCATTCACGTTTCACATCACATTTCCCAATCACATTTTCATAGATTGAACTATTCACAAAAAGAAGTTTGAATGCTTTATAACTGGCATTGCAAACGGTCATCTTCTTCCTGATGCAATCTTCCAATGGCTACAGTTCACTGGCATTATTGCATTTATGGAAAGCTATGCTGCTGGTCAACTCTTAATATTTTATTTTAATATTTTAATATTTTAATATATTTTAAGATCTTTTCTCCTCCTCTTATGACCATTCATCATTCAATCAATTTTCCAACTGTGATAAGGATTTAGATGTAAATCATTTTCTGGAAAAAGAATAATTTATGTAATTCAAAATACTACTGACCCAATTTTCAATCATTAACATCTGGCTCTGCAAATCAAAAGCAAATGCAGCTGTCTTTTATTTTCATAGATAAAAAGTTTCAATGTTAAGCTATGTTTTCAAAATATTTACCTCTTCTACACCATCTGTGCTTTGTTGTGGCTTTCTCTAATCTCATTGTTCTTGGCATGACCTGCCTGGTGGTTTAAAATTGGCGCAAATACTTGGATGCAGATGCTGTTATTTACAACCCCCTAGTTAGCTAAACTCTTTTATGATTTCTGGAAGTTCTACTCAGTACAATTTGTAATTTTGAAGAAAAATGCTGTTTTGTTTACAGCTAGAACATAAAAATAAAATTCCATCAATGTATAAACAAGGTGTATTCATTATATGAATTAAAAAGATACTAGGGTGGGAAATAGAACTGCTGTACACAAACCGGATATAAATTGATAAGCCGTTCTTAAGTTTACAACATCACAGATAAGCCGTTCCTAAACATGCTCAACACATCTGTAAGTAATTAGCACAATCCCTCCAGGTTAGGCTAGGGAAGTGAAAGTTGATGGTAATGTAACAGAGTATCTAAATATACCAAATATAAATCATTTTATAAGAAAAACATTTAATTGTAATAACATGTACTATCTACTTTACAGTTATAGAAATCATTTGTGTTAAGAAAAATAATATCAATTTTTAAAAAAAAAAATGGGAATGACAAAATTTTAGGTCCATGGGATAATGTTCTAAAAAAAGAAGTTCTAAAAGAAAAAATCAGTTTAATTTATGAAAAATAATTGCTTTGATATTTAATACAACAAACTAAATGCAATATTGTAATGTATACAATCATGCAATACTTTCTTTTTTTTTGTTTAAGTTATATAATATAATAAAAATGTTTCTTATGCAACTCAATACTTTAAAAAAAAGAGAATGAGTTGACTAAGTTTTTTTGGCTTAGTTGAAAAATCCACCCGAATTTTAAAAAATACGCCTTTTGAAATTTTCTAAGTTTTAATTTCCTTGTGCCAAAGAGACTAAGTAGAAAATACGCCCGGATTTAGAATTTACGCCTGGAAAAAAGGAGACGTATTTCTGGCAAAAATACGTGTACGCCTGAAAATGAACCGTATTTTTAAGAATACGTCTCTTGTACGCCAGGATTTGCAAAAAATCCAGGCGTAATACGTCTCTGAATTTCGTACGGGAATATTATTACTATCGTTTTACTAACAGCGTGACAGTTTGCTTGATGGGGCGTGCTAAAATTTCAAATGCTGATTATCATTTTACTCCTCGATTGGATGTTTGATTTCAATGGAATCAATAATACTTTGCATATGAAACACAGAACCCAGCAATACCACTGACAAAACTGACCAATCGCATGGAATAAACAACGATTACATGTGAACGGACAAAGCAAGTTTTACTTCCTATAATGATGATATTGATAGCTACATAGTACCGGGTACAACAGTAGCAGAGTAGCCTTACTAATTCCATTCTTTGAATTTAATTCTTATACGTATATAAAACCCTGTCCGGTCAAATCACAACAAATATAATATATGTTTTTTGGGACAGATAACGGGCTTTGACTGACCACGTGTTGCTCCTTACTACAAATACTGTACTGGAAAAGAACCATTCAATTTGATTGGCCAGTATTATCGGGGTATTGTTGTATTCCTAGTTTCGTATGCAAATTAGTATTGATTTCATTGATCCAATCGATGAGTAAAATGATAACCAGCACACAACATTTTAGCACGCCCCATCAAGCAAACTGTCACACTGTTTGTAAAATGATAATAATTGAAATAATTTTATCAAGATAAATTTTACACATTGCAATTATACATCATTTACAAATCCACATTTTCCCCATTTACACATGCAGTTGAATAGATTTAGTGCTTCTTAAAAAACTTCTATGACGTCACCCATTGTTATTAGTCTACATATATTTTACCGATTCAACCAGCACCAGTTGGATATTTGAAGATCCAACTGGCCATTAGTTGGATATTCAAAATATCCAAGTGCCTAACGGTTGGATATATATTAAAATACCCAACTGAGGTGCAGAAAACATAAAACAATGAACAAAAGAGATAAAACAATCTTAAAATATATTTCCAATGCATATGAAAAATAAAACAATTACTCCAAATTTGCCACACTATTATAAGTAATTTCCAGTGCACACGGAATTACCGTAATAACTTCACATTTATTACATTTATTGTGTTTCAAATGCACTTCCAATGCTCACAGAAATAACAATTCCTCCGAATTTTGCACACTTTTAGGAATGTTTTCGGTCTTAAATCTTGAAAGCATCACTTTTTAACACATAAATACATTTTCACCTTGAATCTTTAACTGCATCACTTCTTATTGCTAAATATTATTTCAGGGTCCATTATCAGTAAATCCCTTCAGATTATCCGATATTCATCTCTGTTTCATTCTTTTCCGGCATATTTCCCAAAAGAACTTAAATAATTGACAGCCCATCTATTTTTTGACACCATTTTGATTGCAGATCTTGATATGGAATTTTTTATAGCAGGTTCAGCATAACACCGCCAATCTTTTTATCTGTTTAAGCACTATTACAAGTATTGTTCGAATGGAACTCCATCAGAATTCAACGCTTTTCCTCAACAAACCATCATCTTGTGATATGTAATGACAAATTCCCAACCTTTTATAAAATGTCTGTAGTTTTCTTCAGCTTTCAGGTCAAAAGTATTCAAAACACTATCTGAACCTCTCTAATTTACATTGGATTTAAAAATATTCTTTTGTCTGATCTAATGACTGTTCAGTACAATGAAAAGGGTTAAAATGAAATCAGCACCATGTAGTTTCATGCTCACTAGTCCATGAATAAAAGGGGTGTTCGATTAGGCTATTGTTTTGTGTCACGGTTGGATATTTGAATGGGCTACATCCTATTGTATTACAGCAAGTTGGATATTTGAAAGGGGAAATGTTTCTTTGGGGCCAAAGGTAGGGAATTTTTTTAAGTAAGATAAATAACTCGATAGTGTTGAATAGTTTAGAGAAAACATCCCCTCCTCGGGCCTTCGGCCCTCGGAGAGAATGTTTTCTCTAAACTGTTCAACACCATCTCGTTATTCATCCCTTACATAATACATAGCAACAATTATTACATGTAAGACAATTCACAAAATACATGAATGCATTAAACTGTGAAATACAGATTTCGTACATTTAATTAAAATGCACAGCATCAATACCCCCCCCCCCTTCACAATCTTGCAACTTTCTTTTTAATGCAAATTCACTAGGCAACACTAAAGATTTCCACTTATTGCTTTTCAGTCCAAGACAGGAAGTTGAGGAATAAAGTTGACAGGACATCCTGAACTGTCCTCGGTACTAGCTTATGAGGGAACCAGCCGCAGTGGACAAAGCACGTTACATCATAGGATAATAGGTAAGTCTCCGGAGTATTGTTTGTAGCAATTCTCGTACTTGGTCCTGCATCGAAGCTTCAGGACTATTGATATTTATCTCTGCATGGATTCTCTTATGGCTTTGGTTCTTCCCAGAAACATGTTACTGGTGGTGGTCCCTATATTCTTCTGGCTTTTGTGGTGAGGAATGTTTCATTTTTAGCTCTTTTCTGATCACATTTTGTCCGGCGTCCGTCTATCTAGCTGTCTGTCCGTCTGTCTGTCCATCTGTCTGTCTGTAAACTTTTCATATTTTCGACTTCTTCTCAAGAACCCATGGACCAATTTCAACAAAACTTGCCACAAAGCATCCTTGGGTAAAGGGGATTCAAGTTTGTTCAAATGAAGGGCCATGCCCTCATTCAAGGGGAGATAATTGGGAATTAATGAAAATTTGATGGTATGTTTTAAAAATCTTGTTCTCAAGAACCACTGTGCCAGGAAAGATGAAAGTTATAAGGAAACATTGTCAGGTAGTGTAGATTGAAGTTTGTTCATTAAATAATGACCCCGGGGGTAGGGTGGGGCCACAATGTCTGACCAAAGTTTAACATAGAATAATATATAGGAAAATTCTTTAAAAATCTTCTTCTCAAGAATGACAATGCCATAATTGATCCTATTTATATGGAAGCATCCTCAGGTAGTGTAGATTCAAGTTTGTTCAAATCATGATCCCCGGGGTAGGGCCCCCACAATGGAAGATCAAAGTTTTACATAGAAATATATAGGAAAATTCTTTAAAAATCTTCTCAAGAATAACAAAGCCATGATTGGTCATTGGATTCCTTTTGGATTTAAACTTTTCAATAATAAACCATTTTTACTTTTTCCTAGCCACAGTGCTCAGGTGAGCGATGTGGCCCATGGGCATCTTTTTTTTTTTTAAATTATCAATCATTAAAAATAGATAAATCAGTCGTAAAAAAAAATTGCTTCATATTTGAAGTGCTTTAAACCGACCCTTTGTTGAAAGTGATCGGAGTTTTTTGCACCAAGAGTTAGCAAAGCTTGGAAGGTTTATTGGTAAAATTAAGAAGGAAGTTATGATTTTGGTGTTACTATTGTTGTTATTTAAGTTTGGTTTGATTTTTACATTTAAAGTATTATGAAACTGTTATTTTGTTACTGACCGATGGTTAATTTTCATTGTGAACAAATGTACAAAGATGAGGAGCATAATATAGTTGGCTATGTATATTGCCCAATTTTTGAACATACTATGTAATAAATATTAATAATAATCTTTGAATAATTAAAAAGACAATATTATAAATATGATAGCGTATTTGTACATCAGCATACATTATTGAAAGGAAAAAAAAATCATTCAGTTGCATTTAAAAAAATAAATTGTTTCATATTCTTGCGAATTATCAGATCATTCTTCTATTATTCTAATACTCTGTCATTATGAAACCTTTTTAATAATTTAGTAAATATTAATTGTACATTTGCACCAATTTTTCCATGGCACTTTTACACTAAGAATGCCATGTGCAAAATTATGTACAAGAACAATTCTGAATATATGCAAGTGAGTTGTAAATTTGATATGTAATGCATACATTACAAAAACACATTACAGTGTTCACTAAAATGAAATATATGGACTCTTATATTAATTGCTTGGTATATGTGATATGGATATTATGGATATTATTTTTGAGAATGACGTAATGAAATTTTTCAGCATTGAAATGCATTCTTGAACCAGAGCCATGTGAACCTGGTCCACCTGTACCTCTCATTGAAGACCTGTTAACATCACCAGAGTATGTTCATTCTGATACCCCTATGGTATGGTTACGACATGCATTATCCCTGTCAGATGAAGCCATTAAAAGAGCTGCATTGGCAACAATTGGGCAACGAAACAACCCAATGTGGTCGATTGTAAGGAAATACAGAATAACAGCTTCCAACTTTGGTGCAGTTCTCAGTTCTAAGCAAAGGCGGTGATTAAATTTTTGCGAAATAGACTTTTTGAATTACAGTCAAACTTTGTTATCTCAAACCCATTATCTCAAATTCCATGGATATGTCAAAGTAATTTTGAAGTCCAAACTATTTATAAAAGACTGGGACATTTTATTCTCAATAACTCTTTATGTATTATTCTTGAATCCACGGATATTTCCAACATTTTTCTTGGTCTCATTGAGTTTGAGATAATGAGGTTTGACTGTAATGACTAGATATTTGTACATATAGATGCAGGAAATATAAGATTAACTAGATACGTTCTCGTTGCGAGCAACGAGAGGTCTTCCGTCCGATTCAGGAAAACTCGTAAAATCGAGCTGAAAAGTGATTCAGAATTTTGGTCACAAGGAGGATAGAAGCCAGGTCGCCAACGTGAATGCGCTTTTTTTCTCTTTATCCCCAACAGGCAAAGCATTAAGCTATTGGGAGCACTGCTATAAATACACTTGTGTATAATTTTGCAACAGTACACCTGTCTAAGAATTATAAAAGGTGGGCCACTATTCATAATCTCGCGCCAAACGCCACAAGTAAATATTCGTGCCTTTTCTTTGGACTGATCTATCAAACAGGTGTGATAGCTTAATTAGAAATTAAATTATATAAAACAACTTCTTATCGCGCCTTTTAAATTATTTCGACATTAAGAAAGTATATTCAACACATAATACACAATACATATCGTATCTAGCCCAGTTACACTAAAGCAGTGAGACGGAAATTAAGTTTTAAGATTGACACTGAATTGCAACGTACTACTACGTGAAAGTCCAACCTGCCAGGTGTCTTACTGCTTACCAAGTTGCCTATATAACTCTAGCCAAGTAGCTACAATATACTTACACAGTATTTAACTTTGTAAGAGCTTCTCTGTCCTAATGACAAACATATAGCTGTCACAAAGCTATATTTAAACTAGTCACTGACTACGGCAACTTTGCACAATTCCATTTCATTGATACACTAATTGGTTTCTGTACCAAAGTGAAGACACAAGCCAAGTGGCTGTACTGCCCTCTTGTACCTCAACTTAATCAATGATCATAAGTTATCAGATATCATATTGATAAAATACTACAGACTGCCTTTCTTTTGGAGCACTATTATTATTTTCTAACAGAACATCATTTATCAATAAAACTTGTATAATTCTTTTGTCAATTGACCAATTAATTACAATATTTACATTGATTATCTATTATAATATAAACAAGTAACGGGAGGAAACCCCCCAAATTTTTACTACTACTTGGAGTC